AGCTACCACCACCACACCCGGAGCAAACACTACTCACCATGTTAAAACTCGCAATGTGTGGAGTAGGGAACTAGAGTAGGAACCAGTCGGCTGATTGACATCATATGATCATAAATTATTAGTAATAATCAATGCACGTTATGGCACCATGTAGATTGATTAAATAGCAGCTGTATGATTAACCAACATTTATAGTCAACACACCAACTATTGCGGGTACTTTTAGGAATAACCTGACTGGCTGTTAGTGATTAAAATTTTGGTGCCAACCTAGCACCTTAACGTGCAACTATTATATACATTATTTAATGTAGATTATTCATTTATTTTATGTAGATTAATTTACTATTTCTAATATACAGTCAAACCACGGTTATAATCAAATCAAAAAATTTTAATGTGATAAAAATTGACCATCTTCTGTTATAAAAACATATCAGTTGTACAGCATTTATATATGTTTAAACAATTTAATAACTTGTACCAATGATATAATATTTACCAACTAATATTATAGACGTTAGAAACTTCCATATATTACGATAACAGTCTTTAATATTTAATATGTAAAAATTTATAAACAAGTTGGAAAACATTCACAGTTCGTCATTATTTAGTAAAATATTAAGCGTTTACAGTAATTATAGTAAACTTTTATCATTTTTATCAAATTAGTATATAATAATTGTAAATACAAATTCTTAATAAAAATACTTATACCAAAATCATCAATTTAAGATATTTTAATAATTTTTTAATTAATTAGTTATAATTAACATAATCCAATAAATGTATATTTACCATAATCAGTCATATACTAAAGAGCCCGGACGTTACGGGCCCACTCAATTAATCACATATATTTAGCCTGTGATGTCCGTGCACACTCAACTGACCACATATAGTGGCCTATGATGTCCAGGCCTACTTAATTGACCACATATAACATTTTTAAGGTGGGCCCGTGACGTCCGGGCTCTTTAGCATATGCCCGAAAATCAAATATACGCGCTAATAAGATGTGGATTTTATTTTTACAATTAGTAAATATTTTATTTTAAAAAAATAATTATAAAACTGATATACAATAAGGGTTAATGATTATATAATTAGATATGCTCAATTAATTTAATGTTTTTAGTAGTGTCTCATTTGATTTATAATTTTATGTAGTTGTCATTTTATCAAATTACATAAAAATTATAATAAAATGTTAAGTAATTTTTACAAATAACTGAATAATTTTATCACTAAATACATTATATTGTTAAATAAAAAAGATAACCATTTGATGGTTTTAAATACACTAGAACATATTTAACATACATTTGTATCTAAAATAATAAAACGTGTATCGACTGCAATTACTTAATGTAATGTTGTAATATAGATAGCCACTTGTGAAATTTTACTTTACGTGGTGATTTACGACTATATCTGATCCTGTTCATAAACAATTTATAATAAATTAACATACAATAATACATACATACAATAAATATGAACATGCATTATTGTCAAATAACATTGAAGATTAATATACATTTTATATTAACAATTATTTTGCAAACTGTTATTATTAAAATTAGAAAGCAATAGTATATTAATAAAACTAACATAATTTTATTTATTGGCCTAGGACCGATGCGACGTATAATTAGAAAATTAATTTTTTAACCACTATATGGCTATTATATTAACTAATGCTATAAATCTATACCAATCATTGCTCGCAACGTTACAACTAACATTTAACTTGTTAACTCACCCATACGCTTAGACATTATATAAATTGAACATTATACAGTATTATAAAATTTCAATATTTTAAAAATATAATTTAATAATTAAAACAACATTTAACATATTAAATTGATATTAAGTTGAATTAATATCATGACCACCAATAAATTGAATGACAGTATAAGTTTTTAAAAATTAACCAATCGTTTAGAAACTGTAATTACGTATTATGACATGGTAAAATATAGATAGTTTCTTAATAAATTATATATTTTGGGATTTATTAGTTTAAAGTTAATTACAAACATTATTTTTAATCATGGAAGTTTAACTGACGGGATGTGTTTAATCGGTCGGGACCCGCACGTATCACCACAAGCCTTTGCCCAATAAATATATTGTAAGCATCTATTAAAAATTGTTTATTAATTTATAATGCAATAAATATTGACCATAATTATTAATAATTGTTAGTTTTTAAGTGTTATATTTGTTTGATAAACAAAACATATTGATTATTAATTTGTTATAAAATTCGTATTAATTTATATAACATTTAGATTACAAATTATTAAATTAAAAATGATGGGCGTTTAATTTTTTTCCAACAAAATTATATTATCCAAATAATATATTATTCAAAGACTGGCATATTTTCTAATTACAGTTTTTATATTTAATATGTAAAACATTAATTAACAAGTTGGAAAACATTCACAGTTCGTCATTATTTAGTATTAAACATGTTGATCTATTTATTATTAATTATAAAATAATAAATAATTTTTTTAAATTTTAATATTGTAATTGTAAAGTTGTAACTTTGTAATATTGTAATACAAATTATAAGGTTTAAATTATATTTATAAAATTTGTTGTTAATAAATAATTTAAACAAATTAATTACATTAAATTCTTACCATAATAACTTTCATGATGGTTAACAATTAAATCATATATTTAAGCCAGCATATTTTTAAACAATCATTTACCAACTGTAATTACTACATAAAAACACTATTAGATAATACTTAATTTGTGTAAATACATAGTTTTGGAAATGTCACTCATTTTTAATGTTAAATAGTCTCTATGTTGTCAACACTTTATAATATCAACACATTTTGTTTTAATATTTATGGCATTTATATGTATAATAATATCTTTCTTGTCAACAGATATTAAACATAATACGCAAACCAATTTCTCGTATGTTATGATTATATCCTTAGTATGTATTAAACGCTAAACTAATCGATGTTATTAAGCAAATGCCCTGGAACAGTTTTGTTGATAATAAAGATAATTGACTATATACTAAACACGTTAGAACTAGATAAAAAAAATTCTTGATAAAATTACTTATAAGAAATAATCAATTAAAAAAATTATTATTTACATTTAATAAGTTATCATGTTATCAAGTTAAAAGTAATCATTAAAATTTAGTTTCCATAAAATTGTATTTACCTAAGCAAATATACATGCTAATGATGTAGATTTTATTATTACAGTTAGTAAATATTTTCTACATTAAAAATTAATTTAAAAATTTAAATACAATCATAGTTTATTTATATCTAATTTAGTATGCTAAGTTATTCCAATGTTTTTAGTGGTGTCGTACTTTATTAAAATAAATTGATAATTTTATCTAGTTGTCATTTTAAAAAATTAAATAAACATTTATAACATAATGTTAAATAATTTTTAACAATTAATGAATAATTTTAGAATTAAATAATACATTAAATTATTTTAAATTGTAATATAAGCAAGACAGTTATTTCATGGTATTATATACACAATACATATTTAAAGTACATTTGTATCAAAAATAACGGCACATTTATAAACTGTAATTGGTAACTTTAATATGTCGTGATATAGAAAGCCGATTGGTAAATTTTTTTTATGGGAATACCATAAACAACTTATAATTTTTATCCATTATAAATTAACTTTATACACTGTATATGAAAATCCATTATTATTATTAATAAATAACATCGCACATTAATGTCAGTTTTAAATTAATTTACAAACTGTAATATTTAAAAGTACAAAATTTTAATTTTCATGTAAAGAATTATTTATTTATTTATAATTTTATAATTAAACAAAATTACACATAAAATCTGTAGCATTATTACAATATTAAAAATTATAATGAAAGAACATTTTATATCTTAAATAATTACCATGATAAAACTTATTATAAAATGTATACTCTTAATATAATAACACAACATATACACTATAACGTAACATGTTAAAAGTCTGTATTGAATATTTTATTTTATTAAATATTTACTAACTGCAATTTATAAATATTTTAGTATTTATAACATTTATATTTATGCAAAAAATATTTATATTGGCCTAATGGTGGACAGCGAAATAATAAATACAAATATTAATTTATTTTTAATTTTAATTTTATTTGATTCAATTGCTGATTTATTTGATTTAATATAAATGTAGTTTTACTAATTAAACACAGATGGTAATAAGAAAAACAAGTGAATTTCCCAATGTAATTATGTAATTAGTTAGATATAATAGTACATGATGAGCATTATTATCAAGGTTGTTTAGTGTGACGTTTAGGCATTTATTGGGAAATTTATACATTTTTAAAACATATATTTTAGAGATTTTGTTTTAAAAATATTAGAAATTCAAGGTAAATAAAAAATATAGCATTTGTTAATTATTAAGTTAAATTGTTTAGTTATTTATTTTAGTAAATGTCTATTAATTTTTTTTATGAATTATTACACAATTAAGCATATAACATTAAATTGTTATAAATTATGATTCAGCAAGAAAAATATTTTATTTTATTATTATTCTGTGTTGGTAAAAATATATTTAATTTAATAATACGAAAAATGTTAAATAACATTAATATGTCAACTATTATAATATTGTTTAAATAATAGACAAATACTTGTGGTTTAATAATGATAAAATTACCATGGTAATTTCAGATTAATTTCACAAAAGTAATTTATTAAGGTGAAAACAAATAAAATTATCATTTTAATTATAAGTGTTATTGTATAACACTGTTTCACCTACTGTATATGTGCAAATATTTTAAATTATGCCTGTTATATTGCCAATAAGCGAGGGCAAATGTCTAATTTGCGGTGATCAAGCATATGGTATGTATGTTTTATGTAGCTATATTAATTGGTAAATTATTTTTCTATTTGGACAAGGCAAAAATTTTAATATAATTTCGTGCCAACCGTGCAAACAATTTTTCCGCAGACATGCCTTCAAAAACATAGTAAGTATTTAATAGTAATAAAAAAAGATATAACAAATAATTATTCCTAGCCCATAATATGCCAATAATATAACCAATAACACTAAAAAGTATATTTATAATGTTAAAAACATTAATAATTACAGTATTATAGATTAAATAATTCAACAACAATAATATCATAATCATTAGTTTAAAATAGTTCTGACTTTTATATTAACAATTATAGAATCTTAATTTTTATTTATTTTTAATTATATTTACAAATTAAAATTATTATAAATTAACAGTTAATAGTTAGTTGTAATTTTATTAATTTATAAAAATATAATACTGAATATAAGCAATAACATTATGTATTATATTATGATAAATTTACAGTATGTAAAGATTAGTTAATTTTGAGAGAGAGAGAGAGAGAGAGAGAGAGAGAAAGCTCAAATCAAACTGTATTTTAATTTTAAAATTATATTTAATTTAGACTAGATGAATAATTTATGTAATTTTGGATCCCAGAAGCCTCCAACATTATTCCATTAATAATGAAATAATTGTATAACGATTAACCATTTGATTAGTCAAATAAGTCATTTTTAAAAATATCGTGAACATAACAAACACTATGGTTGTTTTGCATAGCATTTTTATTTTAAAAAATTATATTTATTCATAAAAAATTTTAATTATTCAATTTTCCATTATTAACCACGATCTATGACTACTTACTCACACAGGCATACAAATGTATTTTCACCAACAATTGTGACATAACTATTAAAACGAGATCCTTTTGTATCGACTGTCGGCTCCGAAAATGTTACGCAATGGGAATGAAAAAAGTATGTTTGTATAAATCAAAGCACATTCAAAAGTAAAAAATAAATAAATATAATTAAATTTTGTAAATAATTTCTAGGAATTGATAAAAATATTGTACAATAATAATAACAGCAAAAAATTTGATAAAATCAACGTTAATTGTGCGGAAAATACAACACAAAACAATGCCATAGACTCGACCACTAAATTAGGTTTTAACAGTAATAACAACACAACAGACCTACAGGAGCTCAACACCAATATAACAGATATATCAAACACTAGTTCTAACCCAATATACACTGACTCGAGCCCTACTCCAAGTCTTAGCCCACTGTCCAGCCATGACCTAACAGGACAGTCGTGTCGTACAGATATCATACTAATCCATAGACCCATAACTGACTACAGGAACCAATTGAATGAATTAGAGGGCCGTCGGTTGCGTGAGCTGTTGGCGGCGACCCGTGGCTTATCAGCCGAGAAAACACTGACGTATAACACGGAAGAAGAGGGTAAAATCGTGGCGGGATATAGGGACGTGATTGGTGCCCGGTTTGAGTACCGGTTCCGCACGTTTATCGATATGTCCAAAAAGTTGTCCCCTTTTATTGAGTTGTGCGAACAAGATAGAATGAACTTGATTAAGTATGGATGTTTGGACCTGTTTGGTTTACGATCAATTGCTAATTATGATCATTGCACTGGCACATGGACGTATATCATGGTTAGTTTGTAGTCTCTCCATTAAATTATTATGAAACAATTTACATATCTTACACATACACTTAAGAAATATTAAAGCTGTAAAATAATATTCATATTTAACTTCAAACAATTATTTATAATTTAATTTATTATATATTGGGAATAAACAAATTGAGTGTTTATTTTAAATCTCTCTCTCTCTCTCTCTCTTTCTTTTAAAATTTTTAAAAATGTCATTAAAACTGTAAAAAAATTATGAACCATTGACAAGTACTTCTTATAACATAGCGGAACATATAAACTGAACCAACTTTGATAGAAAATACTGTATTATTTAATGCAAAAACTGTAACAAAAAACATATCATTTTGAAGCTCAGTTATTGTAGAGTAAATGATGTAAACATCACTTTTTTATAAGCAGTGGTTTATAAATAATGGCCTCCAAACAGGAACAACGCCGGGAGAGAGTCGTGACATTTTATTTAAATTGTGCAAATATTGTCTCAATCGAAAAGTCTTATACAACCATGCCGCTTGGCCATTATCTTAATATGATCTGATCCAGTAGATCCAGCTGATCAATAAACCGTCATCAAAATCTGCCAATGACCAGAGGTTGCCGAGTTATGTCCAGTTTTGTGATCACACACATAGTGTTTATAGCATTGGATTTTTGTGATTACTCATGATTTGTGTGAAACACCTTTTTTCAATGCTATGTGTGTGATCACAAAACTGGACATAACTCGGCAACCACTGGTCATTGGCAGATTTTGATGACGGTTTATTGATCAGCTGGATCTACTGGATCAGATCATATCAAGATAATGGCCAAGCGGCATGGTTGTATAAGAATTTTTCCGATTCAATCATTTCGACAAAGATGTTGTCAAACGCACTGTAGAGCGGGTCAACAAATTACTTCGTAAAGCTGGCCAATTGGGTCCAATGGCTGTTTATCATTAGTTTTAATCTAAAACTCATATAATAGTCATAACAGACATGAATTTTCAGTCAATTTTGTCCAATATTTTTTAAATAATAAATAAAAATCTTTGGTTCAGTTTTTATGTTCCGCTATGTTATATACTAAATAATGAATTAAAGGCAAGAGAATTGTTCATAGTTTAATTGAGAAAAATATAAATTTTGTGATTTCTTGATACTTGTATAAAATACATATAAATGGGTACAAAACAATAGCAGTGACAACCTAGTAATGACAATTTACAATTAAAATCTAATCTTTATTTGTATTTATCTGTATTTAATTATGAATAACTTGATATACTGTTGGTTAAAATTGAACAAGTAGATTTTAAATGACAAATATATTGAAAACTAGTAAATATGATCACTTTATAGTAAAATACTGATATTTAACTCATTTATAACAAAAATCCTGACATACA